AATTCCAGCACTCTGGGAGGCTGAGGCAGGTGGGTCACCTGAGGTTCGGAGTTCAAGACCAGCCTGGCCAATATGGAAAAACCCCGTCTCTACTCAAAATACAAAATTAGCCAGGCAATGATCATAGCAAATATCCATGCAGAAAACATTCACCTGTGAGATGAGTGGCACACGCCTGTAGTCCCAGCTACTTGGGAGGCTGAGGCAGGAGAATCACTTGAAACTGGGAGGTGGAGGCTGTGGCAAGCCAAGATCATGCCACTGTACCCCATGCTGGGCAACATGAGCAAAACTTTCTCTCAAAAAAAAAAAAAAAAGGGCCAGGAGCGGTGGCTCACGCCTATAATCCCAGCACTTTGGGAGGCCGAGGCGGGTGGATAACGAGGTCAAGAGATTGAGACCATCCTGGTCAATATGTTGAAACCCCGTCTCTACTAAAAATACAAAAGTTAGCTGGGCATGGTGGCACGTGCCTGTAGTCCCAGCTACTCAGGAGGCTGAGGCAGGAGAATTGCTTGAACCCAGGAGGCGGAGGTTGCAGTGAGCTGAGATTGCGCCACTGGACTCCAGCCTGGGTAACAAGAGTGAAACTCCATTTCTAAAAAAAAAAAAAAAAAAAAGTGTAATATAAAAATGAATGCCTGCATATCCTGCATATACAAGATAAGATTTGCCACAATACAAGCTCCAAAGGAACCACGAATCAAAAAGCTGAAATCTAAGATCAAACAATGAAAGATGCCTCTGTACTGTTCCAATGTTACTGTTCTCTCAGTATTTCTTCTTCACAGCACCAGTGTATCTGTGTCTGTTTAGTGTCTGTTTTCATCAACAGCTCCAGGATGGGGAAAATGGAGTCTGTCTTCCTCACTGTTACATTGTCCCAGAATATGTGACTGCTTTACCCACACAACTACAGTGGAGAGAGGACTATCTCTCCTTTGCTAACTAGTTAGTCCCTTCTGCCTATAGCTTTCTTCCCTACTAAAGAAATCTAGTGGGTGGAAAAAGGGAAAACATTTAATAACTTATGGTTTTTTTTTTTTCTTTTGAGACAGAATTTCGTTCTTGTTGCCCAGGCTGGAGTGCAATGGTACAATCGTGGCTCACCGTAACCTCTGCCTCCCGGGTACAAGCAATTCTCCTGCTTATTACAGGCGCCCACCACCATGCCCAGCTAATTTTTTTTTTTGAGACGGAGTTTTGCTCTTGTTACCCAGGCTGGAGTGCAATGGCGCGATCTCGGCTCACCGCAACCTCCACCTCCTGGGTTCAGGCAATTCTCCTGCCTCAGCCTCCTGAGTCGCTGGGATTACAGGCACGCACCACAATGCCCAGCTAATTTTTTGTATTTTTAGTAGAGACAGGGTTTCACCATGTTGACCGGGATGGTCTCGATCTCTTGACCTCGTGATCCATCCGCCTCGGCCTCCCAAAGTGCTGGGATTACAGACTTGAGCCACCGCGCCCGGCTAATTTTGTATTTTTAATAGAGATAGTGTTACTCCACATTGGCCAGGCTGGTCTCAAACTCCCGACCTCAGGTGATCTGCCTGCCTCGGCCTCCTGAAGCGCTGGGATTACAGGCGTGAGCCACCACACCCGGCCTAATAATTTATATTCTAATGAAAGACTCTGGTCACAGCAAATACACCATGCAGAAAACATCCATCCGTGAGATGACGGGGGTGGTTCTTGAAACACTGTTTTGTAAGTTTATTTATTAAAAAAAAAACAAAACTTTTTTTTTTTTTGAGACTGTCTTGCTTTGTCTCCCAGACTGTAGTACAATGGCAAAAACATGGCTCACTACCACCTCAACCTCCTGGGCTAAAATTATCCTCCTGCCTCAGCTTCCCAAGTAGTTAGCCTGGCATACCACCATACCAGGCTAATTTTAAAATATTTTGTGGCCGGGTACGGTGGCTCAAGCCTGTAATCCCAGCACTTTGGGAGGCCGAGGCGGGTGGATCATGAGGTCAACAGATCGAGACCATCCTGGTCAACATGATGAAACACCGTCTCTACTAAAAATTACAAAAAATTAGCTGGGCACAGTGGCGCGTGCCTGTAATCCCAGCTACTCAGGAGGCTGAGGCAGGAGAATTGCCTGAACCCAGCGGGCGGAGGTTGCAGTGAGCCGAGATTGAGCCATTGCACTCCAGCCTGGGTAACAAGAGCGAAACTCCGTCTCAAAAAAAAAAAAAAAAAAAAAAAAAAATATTTTGTAGAGACAGGGTCTTGCTACATTGCTCTGGCAGATCTGGAAATCCTGGCATTAAGTGATCCTCCCATCTAGGCTTCCTAAAGTGCTGGGATTATAGGCCTCTTATTTAGAAACAGAGACTGTCGCCCAGGCTGAAGTGCACTGGCGTGATCTCAGTTCCCTGCAACCTCCATCGCCCCGGTTCAAGAGATTTTCACAGCTCAGCCTCCCGAGTAGCTGGGACTACAGGCGCATGCTACTACACCTGGCTAATTTCTGTATTTTTAGTAGGGACGGAGTTTCACTATGTTAACCAGGCTGTTCTCAAACTCCTGACTTCAGGTGATCGAGCCATCACACCTGGCCAAATTTATTTTTTTTGAAGCATTGAAATGCTTTCTTCAAAGAAAATCTTAGGGACCTTACTATATAAGACAATTAGAAACAAGGTGCAGGCCGGGCGTGGGGGCTCATGCCAGTAACCCCAGCACTTTCGGAGGCCAAGACAAGTGGATCGCAAGGTCAGGAGTTTGAGACCAGCCTGACCAACATGAAGAAACTCAGGAGGCTGAGGCAAGTGAACAGGTTGAACCCAGGAGGAGGAGGCTGCAGTGAGCTGAGATCTCGCCACTGCACTGCAGCCTGGACAACAGAGCGAGACTCCATCTCAAACCAACAACAAGACACCCAAAAAGGAAAACTTACTAAGATCATAAACTAGCTTTCTACTCAAATCTTTATTTGTAAGATGTGTACTTCACAGCAGGGAGAGAAGCGCAACCATTTTTCTGAGCAGTAAGGCCTCTAATCAAAGCAGGCATGATTAAACCTCTTGGAGAAAGGAAATGCAAACAGAAGCAGAATTAATGAGATAACTAGTTTCTCCTGGGTGTCAGCCGCCTTGTTCTGTGTTTTTTTTTTTTCCTTTTTTGAGACAGCCTCAGTCACCCAGGCTGGAGTGCAGTGTTGTGATCTCGGCTCACTGTAGCCATGGCCTCTCAGGTTCAGGTGATCCTGCCTCCTCAGCCTCCTGAGAAGCTGGGACCACAGGCGTGACACAAGGCACATGTCATCAGCCCGGCTCATTTTTTGTAGAGACAGGGTTTTGCCATGTACCTACACTGGTCTCCAACTCCTGAGCTCAAGTGATCTGTCCACCTTGGCCTCCCCCAAGATGATGGGATTCTAGGTATGAACTGCCATGCCCGGCCTTTGTTCCATGTTTTCATACTTACTTCAACCCACTGTTAACAAAGTCTGTAATAAATGTCAAGAGTTTTATCTAGTGACTCAGAAAAGCCAGATAAAAATAAAAAGCCGGGCGCGGTGGCTCACGTCTGTAATCTCAGCACTTTGGGAGGCCGAGGCAGATGGATCACGAAGTCAAGAGATCGAGACCATCCTGGTCAACATGGTGAAACCCCGTCTCTACTAAAAATACAAAAATTAGCTGGGCATGGTGGTACGTGCCTGTAGTCCCAGCTACTCAGGAGGCTGAGGCAGGAGAATTGCCTGAACCCAGGAGGCGGAGGTTGAGGTGAGCCGAGATCGCACCATTGCACTCCAGCCTGGGTAACAAGACCGAAACTCCGTCTTAAAAAAAATAAATAAATAAAATAAAGAGAAAGAAAAAAGAATCACATCCATCATATGTACAGCACCATGCTGGATGCTCATCTGAACTTAAGGGAAAACCTGAAGCTAGAAATGTATTTTCCTTACCCTCCAAACAATAGTAGTGCTAACCCCAGATGACATACATTCACTTCTCATCAAAGCTAGGACTACAGGTACACGACCATGCCTGACAACTTTTTAACATAGGCTAAAAAAGCCTTTTTAAAAAGCCCTTTAGCAGAGTCTGCACACCTCGAATAGGCTAAAAGCCATAGGGATCTCACTATGTTTCCCAGACTGGTCTTTAACACCTGTTCTCAAGTGGTCATTCTGCCTCGGCCTTCCAAAGTGCTAGGATTACAGGTGTGAGCCACTGTGCCCAACCTGTACTAGCTTTTACACTGAACCATCAGCTCTTCTGAAAAGGAAGGAAGGGAGAGAGGAAGAAAGGAAGGAGGTGAGGGACAAAGGTGTGAGTGCGAAAGAGAATTAACATGATGTAACGGCTGGCCAGAAGGAAATGGGCTATCAAAGATACTTCACCAGCAAAAGGCAAAAATTAATTCCTCAGGAAGAACTGGCTTCTTGTGTGTGAAATGATTTAACAACAAAGACCACGTGTAGCTGCTGCTCCTCCTTGGAATGAGCAGCTTTTGGTCTCAATCTCTACACACCTCGATAGGCCTCACTGTTTCCTCCTGGGTTCTTAATGAATGCACACAGTTAGTGGCAAGGAACTTCATTGCCCCCTGAAGCAAAACATGTTTTTGTGGGAAAATTCCAAGTTAAGTGCTTTGCTAGAGACCACTTCTTACACCCAAATCCATCTGAACCCACCTTCTTTCAGACAACGACAAACAGAAAGCAAGAGACAGGTGAGAGTGCAGATGAGGAAAAGCATTTGAGGTTAATTCTGTGAATTCAGGTGGTATGAAAGTAGTCCACGTGTATTTAGTAGAGCAATTAAGAACATTCAGTTACACAGTTTTAAGCTTACTCATTCCCCAACAGGTTTTCTACGAAAAAGAGAAAACCCAACATTCAATGCCAACATCAGTACTTAACGGCTTGACATCTGCAACATCCCAGTGCTGCCGAGTCAGCGTTCCTACAAAGCTCTAAGAGGACCGAAGCCCTGCGGCAGATCTCTTCCTTCTACGTTTTGCACATTATGTACCTCCAAAGCCAAGGCTGTCTTGTCGTAGGCATTGGGGACTCGCTTCTGGATAACCCTGGCATATATGGGCCCATTCTGGAGGTTAGGAAGCGGAGTGTTGACGCTGGGTTGCGCATAGGGCCCCGGCTCCGGCCCACCCAGTGGCTGCGGGTGGGAACCCTCCTGGTTACCTCCAATCAGAGCCGACACTGAGGCGGAGGCAGGTCTATACTTCTCGACGTAAGGGACCGGGATCATCCCCCTCTTGCCTTCGCTGTCCTCCGCATTCCACCACTGCTCTTCAGGCTTATCCCGGATTCTCAGGATGTCTCCTTTCTTAAAGGGAAGATCTTCTTCATCATTCCCATTAAAGTCAAAGAGGGCTCGCACATACTCCGCCTCCTCCTGCCTGAGAATCACTCCACTACCCTGCCTGGATCTGGAAACCGGTTCTATCAACGTTGTAGTGTCCAAATAGTGTATTTTGTAGAATTCCAGTAAAGCAGGCAATGAATCGAACTCTTGATCTCCTATTCGGAGTCTGGAGGGGCTCACCCCTGGAAAAAACAGAGCAGGGTGTTATTTACTGATGTACTACACTGGAGACTAAATGCAGATTTTATTTTTCTTTTTCAGAGTTGGGATCTCACTATGTCACCCAGGCTGGTCTGGACCTCCTGGGCTCAAGCGATCCTCTCACCACAAACTCCTAAGTAGAGGGGACTACAGGAGCTCACCACTGTGCCTGGCCAAAATGGAGATTTTATGCCTGCCCCATACACGTTTAGTCAAGATTTAATCAGCAAAAAAAACTAGAAAAGATAACCCCTTCTCTTCATAACACACCAACATCACAGCTGGAAGCAGAAACACCCCTGGGAAGAAAGATGCCCATCACTCCCAGCCCCAGAGAAAGATCAAAGGCCAGGACAGATGAGGCCGCTCAGGACGTGCTCGAATCTCCTCAAAAATAGAGGGGCTTTTGGCGCATGCTCCAAATATGTTCTGCTGCCACCCCATTCACAGAGCAGCATAGGGCTCACGGTTCTGTTGCATCTACTTTTTTTTTTTTTTGAAACTGAGTCTCACTCTATTGCCCAGGCTGGAGTGCAGTGGCCAAATCTTGGCTCACTGCAACCTCCTCCCGGGTTCAAACGATTATCCTGTCTCAGCCTCCCAAGTAGCTGGCATTATAGGCATGCACCACAATGCCCAGCTAATTTTTGTATTTTAAGCAGAGATGGGGTTTTACCAGGTCGGTCAGGCTGGTCTCAAACTCCTGACCTCAGGGAATCCGCCTGCCTCGGCCTCCCAAAGTGCTGGGATGATAGGCGTGAGCCACCGTGACCGGCCTACATCTCCTTTTCAACCTCAGAAAATGTAGCAAGCTCTTGTTTTTCATGGGTCCCCGTAGCTGCTCCAGACGAAGGTGGAGAGAGCTTAGTATCTACACTGAGCTCATACATTTTTTTCTCTTCACATCTAAAATGTACAATTCCAACTTAAGAAAAACTATCTTGTTGTTGTGGTTTTTGTTGTTGAGACAGGATCTCATTGTGTTGCTCAGGCTGAAGGGCAGTGGCACTAACACAGCTCAATGCAGCCTTGACCTCCCAGGCTCAAGTAATCATCCCACTTCAGCATCCTGAGTAGCTGGGATGACAGGCACACACCACCACACCAGGCTAATTTTTAAATATTTTGTAGAGACGGGGTCTCACTATGCTGCCCAGGCTAGTCTCAAACACCTGGGGTCAAGCAGTCCTCTAGCCTCAGCCTTCCAAAGTGCTGGGATTAACAGGCATGAGCCGCAGCGCCTGGCCTCTCCTATCTTTTCTGATCTAAGACAGCTGATCTCAATTTTATCTGACAGTTAAAAGGCAACAGAACCAAGAAGCTGAAACTGATAAACTGAAGGGCTAACTGCTTAAAAATCAATTCCCAAGATCTTAAATAAAACATTTAGAAACTAGACTGCTATGAAGCTAACAGGTCATTGAAAGAAAGAATGCTTGAGGAAATAAAGTGTTAACATACTCAACATCTGATAACACACTGAGGATGCAGAGAAAGATATTAGGGGACACTTAAAATTCCTAAGACACAGGTGTGTATGTGACCCTACACACAGAACATACTTCGGGATGTATTTCGTCTATGCTGATTCTAAAGTTCAAGGAAAATAAATGAACATATTCAAACAAAACGAGTAAGTTCAAACAAGAATCACAGTTTCTTTTTTTCTTCTTTTAAATGAGTCAGAGTCTCGCTGTGTCACCCAGGCTGGAATACAGTGTCATGATCATAGCTCACTGCAGCCTCAGCCTCTGGGGCGCAAGCAATCCTCCCACCCCATCCTCTGGTGTAGCTTAGACTACAGACACACACCACCACCACATATGGCTACTTTTTGTATTTTTTGTGGAGAGGGGTTTTGCCATGTTGCTCAGGCTGGTGAACTCCCAGGGTCCTTGGAATTTCGGCTTCCCACAGTGCTGGGATTACAGGTGTGGGCCACCATGCCCGTAAGAAACGAAGTTTCTGGCCAGGCGCGGTGGCTCAAGCCTGTAATCCCAGCACTTGGGGAGGCTGAGGCGGGTGGATCACGAGGTCAAGAGATCGAGACCATCCTGGTCAACATGGTGAAACCCCGTCTCAACTAAAAATATAAAAAATTAGCTGGGCATGGTGGCTTATGCCTGTAATCCCAGCTACTCAGGAGGCTAAGGCAGGAGAATTGCCTGAACCCAGAGGTTGCGGTCAGCCGAGATCCTGCCATTGCACTCCAGCCTGGGTAACAAGAGCGAAACTCCATCTCAAAAAAAAAAAAAAGAAAAGAAGTTTCTAATTAGGAATACCAACCTTTAACTGCACTCAGGTAAGCGCCCAAAAGAGCAAATTATCTTCACTGGATTTTTCATGTTTCGGTTCCCTAAAGAAATAATAAACAACTCTATAGAGAATGAGTTCTGGCTGGGCATGGTAGCTCACTTTTCTAACCCTAGCATTTAGGGAGGCAGAGGCGGGTGGATCCCTGGAGCTTAGGAGTTCAAGACTAGCCTGGGTAACATGGCTGTCACTGCAAAAAATTTAAAAATTAGCTGGGCGTGGTGGCGCATGTCTGTAGTCCCAGCTACTCAGGATGCTCAGGTAGAATGGCTTGAGCCCGGGAGGTCAAAGGCTACAGTGAGCCATGATCACACCACCGTACTCCAGCCTGAGCAACAGAGCAAGACTCTGCGTCAATTTAAAAAAAAAAAAAAAAGACAAGAAGTAAAGAAAAGAGACAAGATGAGAAAAGGAAATGTGTTGGGCATGGTAGCTCACACCTGTAATCCTGGAACTTTGGGAGGCTGAGATGGGAGGACTGCTTGAGTCCAGGATTTTGAGACCAGCATAGGCAACACAGCCAAGACCTCATCACTATAAAAATTATTTTAAAATTAGCTGGGTGTAGTAGTGCACGACTGCAGCTGCAGCCACTCGGTAGGCTGAGGTGAGAGAATCGCTGGAGGCCAGGAGTTTTATGAGTGTACAGTGCGCCAATGATCGCGCCAAAGCACTCCAACCTGGGTGACAGAGCAAGATCCTGACTCTAAAAAAAAAAAAAAAAAAACATAAAGCAGCTGGAAAAAACAAAATGACCAGGCACAGTTGGCTTACGTCTGCAATCCCAGCACTTTGGGAGGCTGAGGCAGGACTGACTGATGCCAGTAGTTCAAGACCAGCCTGGGCAATAAAGGGTGACCCCATCTTTTCAAAAACAAACAAAAGACATAAGCCAGGCATGGTGGTGCATGCCTGTGAGTCCCAGCTACTGGAGAAGCTAAGTGGGAGAATGGGCTGTGCCCAGGAGGTCAAGGCTATGGTGAGTTGTGATCATGCCACTGCATTCCAGCCTGGACAGCACAGGAAGACCTTGTCTCAAATAAACAAAAATCAAAATGAGTTTTGTGAGTTTTGCCTTTGTTGTTTTGAGACAGCGTGGTCTGGCTCTGCCATCCAGACTGGGGTGCAATGGTGTGATCTCAATTCACTGCAACCTCCACCTCCCAGGCTGAAACCAGCCTCTCACCTCAGCCTCTCAAATAGCTGGGACTACAGGAGCACACCACCACACCCAACTAAATTTTTGTAGAGACAGAGTTTTGCCATGTTGCCCAGGCCAGTCTCAAACTCCTGAGCTCAAGTGATTCATCTGCCTTGGCTTCCCAAAGTACTAGAATTACAGGGGTGAGCCACCATGCCTGGCCTTGGCTTTGTTTTTTGAGACAGGGGTCTCCCTATGTTGCCCAGGCTGGTCTCAAACTCCTGGTTCCAGTGATCCTCTCACCTTAGTCTCCTGAGTATGTGTTTTTATTTAAGAGAGAGGGTCTAACTCTGTTGTTCAAGCTGGAGTGCCGTGGTGGGATGAGCGCTTACCAGTCTCAAGCTCCTAGGCTCAAGATATTCTCCCACCTCAGCCTCCTGAGTAGCTCAGACTAAAGGTGCAGATGGCATTGTACCCAGATGCTTCTTTTTTGAGAGTCTCACTGTCACCCAGGCTGGAGTGCAGTGGCATGATCTCAGCTCACTGCAACCTCCGCCTCCCGGGTTCAAGCAACTCTCCTGCCTCAGCCTCCCAAGTAGCTGGGATCACAGATGCCCACCACTATGCCCGGCTAATTTTTTGTATTTTTAATAGAGATCTCGTGACCTCAGGTGATCCACCCACCTTAGTCTCCCAAAGTGCTTGGATTATAGGTGTGAGCCACCATGCCAGGGTCTTGCTGCTGCCCAGGTTGGGGTGCAATGGCACAATCTCAGCTCACTGCAGCCTCCACTTCCCAGGCTCTAGTGACCCTCCCACCTCAGCCTCCTTAGCAGCTGGGACTATAGGCATACACCACCACATCTGGCTAATTTTTGTATTTTTTTGTAGAGATGGGGTTCCGCTATGTTGCCCAGGCTGGTCTCGAACTCCTGGGCTCAAGTGATCCGCCCCCCTTTGCCTCCTAAAGTATTGAGATTATAGGTGTGAGCTACTGCAACCAGCGTACTATTAAATGTTTTTAATTCTTTGTTTATTGCTGGGATTTTTCTTTTTTGTGTGTGACAGGGTCTCTCTCTCTCTTTTTGGAGAAGGAGTCTTGCTCTGTCGCCCAGGCTGGAGTGCAATGACTCAATCTCAGCTCACTGCAACCTCCGTCTTCCTGGTTGAAGTGATTCTCCTGCCTCAGCCTTCTGAGTAGCTGGGATTACAGGAGCCCACCACCACACCCAGATAATTTTTTTGTATTTTTAATAGAGACGAGGTTTCACCATGTTGGCAAGGCTGGTTTGAGCTCCTGACTTCAGGTGATCCACCCGCCTCAGCTTCCCAAAGTGCTGGGATCACAGGTGTGAGCCACCACGCCCGGCTGCAGCCTCTACTTTGTGGGCTCAAGCAACTCTACAGCCTCAGGCTCAGCCTCCCAAATAGCTGCGACTACAGGTACAAGCCACCCACCAACAGCCAGCTGTTTTTTTTTTTTTTTTTTTTTTTTAAATAACAGGGTTTTGCCATGTCGCCCAGGAT